CGCACTTGGTACGCGCCAGCGGGGAGGCCAGGCCCAGCCCCGGCGGTACAATAGGGTTGGGCCGCGGCCGGGACTGGGCCGGCGCCGGGCAGGGAGCGGGATCGCGGCCGGAGCCAACAGACACTGGGCGGCCGGCGACTCCGAGCCTCGCAGGCCACCAGCCGAGGCAGCCCCGACCTTCTCCGGAGCGCCTCCGCCTCCGAGTCTTGCCCGCCGGGCAGGGCCGGGCGTGATGCGCCGCGGGACCCCTGTCCTGGCCGCCGGCCGCCGCCGCCGTCGCCGCTGAGACCCCAAGACCCCCAGTGACGCCGCGGCCATGGAGAGTGGCCCACATGCAGAGCCGGGTGCCGGCGCACCCCCAGGTATGCCGGGAGCCACGCAGAGGCGAGATGGGGGGAGGTCGCGGGGCCTCGGGAAGGCCGAGGAGGAGGCCAACACGCTGGGCGGGGACCCCTCCCCCGCCGCGCCTTCTGACCACTTGGAAGTTTAAAAATAAAGGCTGCAGCGGCGGCGGCTCGGGGCCACCGACGCATCCTCTGACAGCTGCCCCCTCCCCCACTCCGGGCGCTAGGACGCCCTGGGCGGCGGGATCCTCGAGGATCCCGCTCCGGAGTTGTTGGGGTGACCCTTCCGCCCCGGCCCAGTGCCACCTCGGTTGCTCCGCCAACACCCCCTTTCCGACCCTGATGGTCCTCTTCAGTTGAACTGGGACGTCTGTCCCCCTCTTCATCCCGGGTGGGCAAGGGTGACCCCAGCCTGAATGTGTGTGTTGGGGGTCCAGATTCTCAGGCCTGGAGTCCTGCATACCAAAGCCTAGGCCTTTGGCGCCCCCCACGCCCAGGCCCTAGCCCAGACCTTGCCCCCACCCCATCTCTCCAGCTGCCGCGCAAAGGGCCTGTTGCTGCTGCGAGCCGGCCTGGAGTGGAGGGGAGGGCAGGGGGAGGTCTCTAGCGGCGGCTGCCAAGTAACCCGCGGGATAAAGACGAGGGGGAGGGGGAGGCGGCATTGTTTGGGGCGAGGGCGGGAGCTGGGGAGTGGGCCGCCTCCTGTGCAGCCAGGCCTGCTCCGGAGCCCACCCAGCCGGATTTGGGGAGGAAGGGGGCAGAAGTAAAGCTGCGTATCCTGCCACCCTCCGTCCTAGCCTCTCTAGGCCCGAGTCTCTCTCGAGAATGAGGTGAAGGCTCAAGGCCGCACTCCCGGGACCTGCCACATCATTCCTCAGCCTGAAGCTTGGGATGCCTACCCCCGCCCCCCTACACAGACTCCAGGCCCCAGAAGACCATCAAAGCTACCCTCCCCTCCCCTCCCCTCACCCCACCAACCACCAGTGCCCAGGACTTCTGCAAATCCCATTCGGATCTGGGAGCAGCTGATGAGGGGGTGGGGACAGGTTTCTGGTTGGGCCTGGTGTTGGAGGGAGGGATTTCTCTTTCTCTTTCTTCCTGGAAGGGGAGGGGAGAGCATGATTACTGAGGACCCAAGTTCTGTTCCCACTGACTCAGGGGGGAGGCGGCCCCAACCTCACACCTCCGTAGAGTCCTAGAGCCTAATCCCTGCCACCTGCCTGACCCCTGCGGCGTGGGCTCAGCATGAAACAGTGTCTGTGGGTGCGGAGAGCCCAAGACAAGGCGGAGCCACTGGGCTGTGGGTGGGCTCCTCCCCATGCCAGCGCGGGTGCTTCCAGGGGCTGGTGTGGGTGTGGGAGCTGAGGGATGCAGGTGATGGTGGTGGGCGAGCTATCGGACTCTTGTGGTTGGGGTGGTGTGTAGACTGTGCTGGAACAGTGGCACTTGGATCAGTCTTGGCTCTGCTAAGCCTGAGACAGGACACCCAGGGAGTCCTAGACTGGGTCCATTTCATCTGCTTATTGGCCCTCTGCATCTAATTGGCCCCCTGAATGGGCCTGATGACTGGGCCACAGATGAGGGCCTGAGTGAGTGTCTGGTTTATAATTTAGGCACTTGGGTGGGATGCCTGTCTGAAGGAGTGGGCCTGGGGGACATGCTTGGCTGTACTGAGGGGCCTGAGGGGGTCTACATATAGGGTCCTGCGTTGGGAAGACTCTTCTATACACAGGGGCCTAGATGGAGTTACATGACAACCTAGATCAGGCTGGTGGTGAATCCCTACACAGAAGGTGAAGGTGACAGGGGCCCCCTCCAAGCCAAGGGCTTCCAGGGAGTAAAGGTGGTGCCCACTGCATGTACCCTGTCGAGTCTGAGGCATGGGGCGGAGACACTGAGTGCACATGGCATGATCCCTGCCATCCTTGAGTTTCCCCTGCCCCCTGAGCATTTCCAGGAGGCAACATGGAGTAGGGAACAGGTGTGGACTGGGGCAAGTGACTTGCCTCCTCCAGTCACAGTTTATGCCCCTGGAGAATGGAGGTGGTGTTACCAAACCTGTGGGGTTAATGTGAGGGTTAGAGATGATGTACCGAAAGGAACCTGGCACATAGACGCCCACAGTACAGTGTTATTACCATTATTGTGGTTATGCTCATCAGAACCAGTGCCAACAGGGAAGTATGAAACATGGGGGAGGTGAGAACAGGGATTGGGAGCCAGTTTGCTTAAGAATGTAGACTCTGGAATCAAACATAACCTCCTACTGTGTGACCTTAGGTGTGCTGCTTAACCTGAGTCTTAAATGTTCCCATTTATAAAATGAGAATAATGCTAGAAATTATCTCATGAAGAGATTGGGATCGTTAAATTAGATGAACACATGAAACACTTAGCCTAGGCCTGGGCACATCATTAGTGGTCAATAAACTCTATTTGTTTTTTGTTGTTTATTGTTTTTTAATTCCTTTGGAGGCCTGAGGAGGAGGTGTGATTAATTAGAATTTCAGGAGGTAAATATGGGACAGAGGGCCAGGGAGAGGGGAGTTCTAGACACATATGAACCAGGGTGGATCTGGGGAGCAGAGGGGCCCCCGTGCTTGAGGGGGGCTGCGGCAGTAGAAGAGAGCCCCTGGGAGGTGGGTGCGGACGGCCGTCCAGCACACCATGCTGACGCCTGCCATCAATGCTGCCCGTACAGAGGGCAGAGAAGTGAATCAGTCACTACCCTCCGAGAGCTCTCGGCCCAAGGAGGGAAGCAGATGTGCTCGGGGCAGGGAAACCCCACAGGTATACTGGTGATATGGTGGTCAGTGGGCTTTGCTTGTGGAAGGCTTCACAGAGGAGGAGGCATTTCAGGTGAACCTAAAAGGATGAGTAGAAGTTGGCAAGACTGGCACAATGGGCTGTGTCTCTACATAGGGCAGCCAGCCTAGCTGGTGCCTCCCGCGGACAGCTTCGTCCCCCCTTGGGCCGGTGGGCCCAGTAATGAGCCTCTAATGAGCCCCTAATGTGCAGTCATGCATATGCAAATGAGGAGGAAGGGGCACCAGGCCAGTGTACTCCCCCTTTCCCTCAGGATGGGCATCAGCTGTGGGTGGGGCAGGGCGGGGGGGGGGTGGAGTGAGCTAAAAGCGGGGCCCTGACCAGAGTGGTGGCACTAGAGGGTGGCCAGGACAGGTCTCAGGTCTGACCACAGACCTTAGGCCACAAGCAGCAGGGAGCCATGTCCCTGAGTCCCCACTGGGCCTTGGGACAAGTCAGGGAGCCAAGGGGCCAGGCCCAGATAATGCAGCTTTGTTGGCTATGGTCGCGCTGCCTGGCACCCCGGGGCACAGCCTTCAATGTCTGGTCGTCTGGTCTGCCACCTCTCAGCTGCAGCTCTGCCCTGAGGGGAGCAGAGAGCGTGGCAGGGTGGGGGGTAGAGAGCATGGTGTTGCTACCGCCATCAGCGCCCCTCCCCGCTTGTAAGAGGAGATGTGTCCCCTCACCAGGGATAAGTCCAACTTATCTCCCACTCCTAGTTATTAAGGGCCTTCTCTGTGCCAGGCACAGTGCCTAGCATATCATGTGCATGGTCTCATTTGATTCTCAAAACAGTCCCTGAGTAGGGCCTACTACTATCCTCCTTTTACAGATGAGGATCAGAGAGGGACGTCATTGGCCTAAAGTCACACAGCTAGGAACTGACAGAGGCAGAATGTGAACCCAGGTTCATCTGACTCTAAAGCCTCTGCACCAAACCTCTAGGCTGAATTATCATGGCTGAGCCAGCCAGCGACAGAGTCTTGCTTCCCTGGCATGACTGATCTATAGGCATCTTGGTCTTAGGGACCCCATGATCCATCCTCTGGCAGGCAGAGGTAGAGCCAGCAGAGCCCTGGGTTCCCTGTGCATCTTGTCAGGTTGGAGTCTGAGGAAGTCAGACCAGAAGGAGGCCCTGGACCCAGGCAGTGGTGACAGTCCAGCCAGCAGGCCATCCTCAGGCCCCTGCCCTGAGCCTGTAGGCCCTAGCACGGGCCGACCTGCTGGGGCTGAGGGAGGGCCCGTGGTGGGGCCTGGGCTGTGGGATGGGGTCATTTCCTGCCGCCTAAAATAACAGGAAGTGGGTGCTCCTGATTGGAGGCTGGGAACAATGGCCGCCAACCAGGCCAGAGAGCTCCTTCAGATCTGCTGTCTCAGTTGTGATCCAGCTTTATCTCTCACAGAGGCCCATGGCCTGGCCCCAGTGCCCTGCTGCTAAGGGCCTGTGGCCCAGGGTCTGAGGACTATTGGAGCAGGATGCCCCCTCCTCGTTCAGTCCCTCTCAGAGCTGGCTCAGCTCTGTTCAGGCTGGGAGTGATGCTGCCCCCTAAGGGTTCCCTCTGTCCCAGCCCCACAATCAGGCATCTCTCAGAGTTTGTCCTTCCGGGGCCTGCCCCTGCCCCCAACCTCATCCTCCCAGCTCAGATCTCTCCAGGCAGGGAAACCCAGGAGGCTGCCTCCTTTGGGTAAGGGAGTGAAGGTACAGATTGTCACGCTGCGTCGGGCCCGAACCCCAGCTTTGATACTCACCAGCTATGTGACTTAAGCACGTGTCTTAAGCTCTCTGAATCTATTTCCTCACTTGTCAAATGGGGTAATAACGTCTAACTCATAGGGTTGTGGTGAGGATGATAGGGACTGATGTGTTTAAAGTGTTGAGCTGGGCCTGACACAGCATTAGCTATTGCAGCTGTTAACTGGACTTACCCTGGGCCCAGGTAAGGGAGTGCCCAGAAGGGGCAGGGAGGACGCGACCTGAATGAGACTGTACAAGTACACTGGGAACACCGTGTCTGAGTGCTGTGTGGGTCTCTGAGGCTTCCTTTGTGCCTCGGATCGGGTGCCTGGCTGTGTGTGTGTGTGTGTGTGTGTGTTTGTGTGTGTGTGTAGAGTTCCAAATCCCACGAAGTCTGATTCCTGTGTATATAAGACAGAGAGAGAGAGAGGAGGGAGAAAAGAATGTGTCTTGTCTCTCGCCATTGCTCTGTCCACGT